AAATATGATATACATCCTCGTTAAATTCAGTCTTAAAGGGACTTAATCATTGAAAGATTTCAGGAATTATTTCTAAGAGCAATCTAATCGGAACTTATCTGACAATCCTTAATTATATAACTACTGGCTATCATTCATTGAAAACGTGATTTCGTGCCCTTACAGGACAATGGCCTTGAAATTTCAAAACAAAAATTGTAGATAATATCATAGGTTATTACCTATACGTAGTGAGTTGACGTAGGTTGTGTTATTTATATCATAAAATATGCAAATTAGAGAAAAAAACTGAAGTAGATCTTGAATAATATTAATGTAATCTTTTGGTTATTATGTAGAAATGAATCCCGATTTTTTATTTCTGATTTCCCTGATATAGAATGTCAATAGTTTTTTTCGGTTTATAAAATATGTCAATAGGAGGACATATTTCATAAAAGTACGTTGCCATTATCCATCAATTCTGGTCATAAACTATGACAGATCTGGATCTGACGAGTGATGGTGCACTAGAGGATATGTAATATTATAACATATTTATAACATATTTACGTTGTCCTAAGCTTATTTAAAAACTTGGAATAAATGGCTGCAGACAATTCTTTATAAAATTGGTGGAATTTCCCCCCCCCCCCCCCCCGCCCCCCTTTGGGTTTTGAACATAATCAAGGCTCGATATGCTGCATCCTGTGCATCCACAAATTGAAAGAGCGTGGTCTGGTCATGTTGTTCTGGCAAAAAAAAACCTTATTGCACAATTCTAAATCATTTAAATTGATCTCAAGTAGATTTTAAATCTCAGCATATTAAGTAACGCGTCTCTCATTTATTATTATATGTTTCCTTGATGTGAAAATAGAGAATATGCACAATAAAACTATATCTGATCTTACCTGCCTTCAGGCAAAACAAAATACATAAAGAAAATAAAGGGAAATCCTGTTGCTGTCAAAATTAATTATTATCAATTTAAAACTGCTTTACGAGGAAATGTGTGACGAAATGCAAATGGGTCAACGAAAGTTCACTCCTGTACCCTAAGCACGAAATGTGGGTCAGAATTTCCTACTCTTTTGTATCGCTGCAACATAAATAGATATAAATTACCTTATGTAAACATTAAAATTGGACTTTGGATTCCAATACCAGAATATTGCAAAATTTTAATAATTTATGACATTTTACAGGTTTTCAAATGTCAGTTTGCACATGTTGTTTTAGTAACCTTCAAAACCTATTATTAAGTAAAAATATAAAAAACTGTTTACCTGTCACGAGCTGTAGCTGATTATTCTCCTGACTTGATATACCTCGGCCTATATAGATCTACAGTCTGAATTAAAAGTAGGTCAGTTCTCAGGTAAATACACTTAATGGTTCGTCGATCCGATGCTGTAAACTCAGTTTGTCCTTTATACATTAACTATTTTTTAATAATATATAGTACTGCCAACAAGCAGTGATCTAAAAACATGCCATAAAAACACTATGTAGGCCTAGATTGCACGATGAAAGGTAGCCACGTGACTTGTAGATAAGTCGAGAGAACGTATACAAAGTAAGGCCTATTACATGTATATTCAATACAACGTTATGTAGTACTTTACTTGTAATATTATTGTACAATTCCTAATATACATTAATACATTTGTAACGATTTTCCTTAAAATTATCGAAAAAAAAAGCTTTTCAATATTTTCTACAGAATGAAATTATTCACAAAAATAAATTTTGTAATATATATTTCGTTTTGATTCGTCATCAGTATAGTTGTATGGGAAACGGTTGGTGTTTATTTCAAGACTTAAACGAGAACCATGCATTACGATCGTCATTTTCTGATAGTTAAAATTGGACCTCTAAGATCTGTAACATTTAGCTCTTGTAGGAAATCGTGAAAACATGTTATTTTCTCTGTTTCATTCCATTACAGTGACATAAATAATTGGTATAGCAAATAAACATTATAGATGAGGACCCTCTGAAAGGGATTTCGAGTAGGTAAACTCAGAGAGGCATCGAGTGTTCCGGGAGGGTGAACTAACTTCTGAACTAGCCAAACCAGTCTCAGTACATACATTTTTAGAAGTCTGTTAAACAGGAACCCAAGAGATGAATACATATTATTAAATTGTCGAATTAGCAAATCGAGTACTTGCAAAACAACCCAAGTAAATAATTATATAGGACAATCAAATCGAAAGCCTCTTTCAAACATCTGTCATTCTTACCCAGCACAATTTGCCAAAACAATTATTCCTTATGAGATAATTAAGGATTTATCTCTATAAAAGCAAAATCTTATACTGTTAAAATAATAAAAAGTATGATCTTTTCAAAGGATGCGTCCGCGTTTAAAAGGAGTGTCAGAACTCAGATACAACCCAATTGAAAAGTGTAAAATCTTTTTTTTTTAAATGTAGATTTATACAGTTAAGTAAGATAACTTACCGGTATAATTACATCTCTACTGGTATACATGCATTCAACTTGATTATACACTATTCATAATGAAATTGCATTTACTGAGAGGAAATGCTGTGATGTAATTTCTATTTTTGAGCTATGACAAGTCTTTGAGAATCGTGACCCTAATCTGCGTTTTAAAAGCTTGGAGTCATAGACAGTAATAGGTAGATGGTTCTATTGGTGGACAAGACTGTCCCGAGGTCATTTTTCAAACTATTAGTATTTATACTCAGGAATCCTGCAATAAAGGAACATTATGAATTTGAGCTTCAATAATCCAAGTAAGGTGACGGGTGTGGAACGTGATACGAAGATGTTAATTCTTCCGGAACACTTGATACCTAAGATCGTATATCTTACGAAAATTGAATTCAGGTGTGGCAAGCATTTTTGTTCAAATTTTGATGATAATTTCAAGAGTGTGTCCCAGATAAAGATCCCTATGGTTGCAACCTGCATTCCTGGGTCGTCTTGTATTATTTAGATAGAAAATCCTATGCAGGGTCACTGAGAACTAGACCTTGGCCTATAAAATTTGTTTGATCTAGTTCAGATTGCACAATACTCTCGTCTTGGATAAACATACAGACAGGTTGAGGGAAGATATCAATAGCGGTCTGTATGGTTCGCCCTATTTCTCATACTATCATACTGCCATTCCTCGGCGGTAACAACAACAGAATCGGGTAAAAATTACTATGGTGGGTGCAGATAGATTCACCTGATATCCAGGCGACTGAGTTGCTATATGTCCAAAAAAATACTAATGATATTTTGGGACTTTGGGCAATGGACACCTATACAATAAACATAAGGTTTGCATATTACTTGAATATTTCAGCGATAGATTTAAACAAAAATTTCTTGATTGAAAAAACGAATAACGCAAATGGTTAGTTATTATTTTAAGGGAATACGTGATGCTATAAATGCGAAGTCGATCGATCTTATATAACTTAATACATCATTTTCATATTGTGGTTTGAAGCTAGCATTTGCTCAAAGGTTATTTCCCTTATCAAATACATAGAGAGATCGGCTGTTGTCTGTAGTCGCCTATATATTTAATTTGATTATTTCCCTTTAACTGGCGATCGTGTCTGTTGCTGTCAACTGAATGAATTTATCTTTATCCATACTTTTTACTCAACAAGACTGTGGGCTGGATTCAAAATGACAGAAGCTGTATGAAAACACAACTCACATTAGACATAATTGATGAACTCTAAAGTCTTTTCAGACTTTTTCTTGATCACAAAAAGCAATAAATGCAAAGGTTATTTATTTTTACTTTGTGAAAAATCGATTTTAAAAATTTTCACGATTTGCTATTGGAATGTTTTTTTTCTAGATACACTTCATACTAGGCCGAGATTCGGTGTACGTGACTGTTGTTTTAGCAATTTATACTTATATAATTTTACATGCAGAATATATGTAATTATGTATCAGCTTGTTCAAAAGGCTTATGATATATATTGAAGTACAATTGATAAAAAGTTGAATATGAGAGACTTTGTGTGACTTTGTTATCCTTTGTTTTAGAGTTATTTAAAGAGACAATGAAGACAAAAAAATGGACATGAATAGAGAATTGTATCTTTCTGAAGCTCTCTTCATTTTCACAAAGTTGATAAATTTCTCATGAGGTTAACAACAAAGTATATTTTCACGCGCCATGTGATGAATGGAGTGTTTTGATTGGATGGTGTTTTAGGCATTGACCAATCAGAGTGTATTTATATTACTGGAGTATATGAAGTTAGCATGTGAAATATAACATGTTCTGGTCAAAGTTATAGGGTTATTGGAGTTAATATTGGTTGGTAAATAACGTTCGGTTGTTTTTAATTGTCTAACTGTTGACCAACTAAAGGTCGAGCTATATTTCGTGTGGTAGTCACATTCAATTGAATTTTATTTCCCAAAAACGCATTTGAACAATATCAAAGAGGTGCCGCTTATAATTGGAACAGTGAATATTTACAATAAACGATGATATGTCCACGTGTAGCTATCAGGAATAACGCTCACCAATCATGGAATGGTAAATGAATATCAGTAACGCGGATTTAATTGATCATAACACCTGGCTTGGCTGCAAACAACCAAATGGTTTCATTTTACCGACTGTCATAATTGATCAATCAGGATTAACGATGGAAGTTTCTTCACTGTTTTTATAAAATTCACCAGTTTATCAATTTTCGTCTTCTGTGGAATGGATTCATAGGCCTATTTGAAAATAATGACCTATGTATTTAATAAGGTTGACTTTGCATCAGTTATTTATACGTGGTTCTTGGATTGTACAAGTTTGGAAGTGACAGTCTGTGATATCCTTTGACCTTGGAATTAAACAGTGATTTTAAAGTCAGAAGAATTGTATAGACAGTATATTACATCAGAGTGAATCTAATTTTCCATTCTGGACCAAACCACAACTATAACTACCGGGTACCATGCGTTTTTATCATCTTTAGAAGAAATTTTGTGGAAGGCATTATCAGGAACAAAACATTTTGATCAGAATGGATGCAATCAAGTCATATTTCCAAAAAATCTTTCCAGCCAGTCCGACAAGGAAAGGTAGTTGCAAGTTAACTCGTGGTCGAAAATCTGATGTTGGATTATCCAGCTCTGACAGTCTACCGTTCCGAACAGCATCCACTTCTCAAATAGAAGACTTTGGGGACAAAAATAAGCGCCAGAATGCAGCAACATTAGCTGGGTATCATAGAGACAATAATATGTCCAGATCAACACCTCCGTCAAAACCACCTCGAAAAGATCAAATATTTTCTGTGGAGTTTGGTGATTTACAAGGGATAGATTTTGGAATAACGATAGACAGTTCTCCATTAGCGCCACGTCCTAGAAAATTCAGTGACAGTGGAACTGACAGTTTTTCATCAGAATCAAATGGTACTCCCCCACCCTCAGGACTTTCTACCTCTATTAAAGTGACCTCTATTCGAACTCCTAGTATCGCTCAGTTTGATGGAAGGATTAAAGTTAACGATGAGATTATTGATATTAATGGAAGATCAATGCTACGTGAAAATACTGTCTCAGCAAGGTATGGTATACATTACTATAATCTCTAGATAAATATGTCTTATAGATCATGTCAGATGATTTCTCTAATACTACAGGGGAATTAATTCAGTTTGGATCGTTACGGATAGGCCTTTATCATATGTCTAATTATTTACTTTTCCGGCTGAAAGAGCTCATTTCAGCTACACATATCACTTTTCAGAATTAGAATCTAACATCAGGTTATCCTACGATGGAACTAAAACCCATTAAGCAAATTTAGACAGACTGATAATGAACTTCTCACATGAAATTATTACCAATGATTTATATCAGTACTGGTAGTGTTAGTATCAAGATAGCTGAAATTGGGTTTTAAAAACTGTAGTATCCATTAAACTTTTCAATTTGCACACAAATTTTTTACATGTTTTAACAAGATATTTCAACACATCAATGTCTTTTTATAAAACAATTTCATATTTCCTCAACTTTCAATTTATTATTGTCACATTTAATAAGCGAAAACAAGTTATGCGATTTAGATTTATTGAAACGTCCATTATAATACATAATGCACTTCTTATTAAAGTTGTTATTTCCAATATTTTTTAGTGTTTTTAGAAAATTTATTTTCTTCTTGAAGAGTTCATTAATTTTAATTTACACCTACAGATTTTTATAAACAATAAACTTTATTTTTTTTTTAAACAGATATCATAACCAGTGGCAGAGCCAGGATTGCGTCCGAGGGGGGGTAAATATCTGATGTTGCCCATATTTCCAATTTTTGCCAGAAAAACATGCCTTCGGGGCTGCTTGGAGGGGCGGATACCTCCTCTACCCCCCTTTGGCTCTGCCACTGATCATAACTTATTAAAATTTCTCATGTATTCATAAAGATATTTTTTTTATTAAAATTTCAATTTTAAAGGCCGGATTGATTAATTTTTCCTCCATCTGATGCCATGACCAGTATTATATGTCCCCATTGTGGCGTAAAATCCTAATGGATCTAGATTTTATATTTATATAATTAACCCAGTTGATATATTTTAAGTAGGAATATAGAGAAATATGATGCCAATTTTATATTGTAATGAAACATGTCTATATTTCCAAGTATATATTATATTGGTAATATGTATTTATATACAGTATAATTGATAAACTTATGTTTTATAGAGTGACTATAGGTATAAGGATAGGGTAGAATAACTTAATGTGTTAATGGAATGAAGTACACTTAGATTTAAAATAAGTTTTATGGATCCGATTTATGCTGTTCAATAATTCATTGAGGGCTTTTATACAGGACCAGATAATATTCATATTATGCAACAATGATAATGTTAAAATCTAAATTTTATGATGCACTAGCAAGTTAATTTTGATTGTGAAGCCATGAGAAGTATATTGAATAATACATATAAGCCAATGAACTCTTTGTAGACTTGATAAACCTAACCATAGAGTGGAAGTAAATATTTCAAAAGAGTGAACATACCTCCTAGCTTGTGGCACTCATCACAATACTCATCATAGGGCTGAAATTCAGTGAAGGTTTTTGACATGGACTCAAAAAGCTCAAAGCTAATAGGTGGTAGAATGACCTCATGCACACCAGCAAAGTCATCATATTCTGTCTTATTATAGAATTATTTATTATATGATGTATTCAGTACAGCAGAGATGATAGAAACAAGGAAGGTTTCACCTTGTTCTTTGACATGAAATCAAAGGCAGTAGTTGCAAACAAGAATAGTTTGCTGTTGATAGTGGGACAGCTTTGAGTAGTTTGAACTATCTAACTGGTAAATAAATAAATGCTGATATATCAGAGATATTGCATGTCTAAAAAGATAAAGATAGGCCCTAAAGGCTTGATTGATTTTCAATTTGAATTTGTCAGGTGATGAACTTTTAATTATGTCCCTAAGTTAGGGCGGAGTACACTAATATATTAATATAGAAATAATCTGTAAAGTACATGTTAACAAGCTATTATTAAAGCTTGACCAAATCAATAAACTGACCACTGATCACTCGGTCAAGATTGAAGTTATTCATGGCATATTGATCAAAGATACATAATTAGCATATGGTCTAGTTCATGTTAAAGTGACACATATTTCAAATTTTCTTATATATATCATTTGATTGATTGAACTTTTTGAGATTGCATTTCCAAGTTATACATAACCTGACATTGAGATCATGCAACATCAACCATTCCGGTGCTCTTAGCTTTTGCATTATTTCTCTCAACAGGAAAAAAAAACATAAGTGATAAATAAATACATTCGTCAGAAAGTGATGAAACCCACAAAATTAGATCCACTAGGCTCCTTTGTATCTAATGTTAACATATCCTTTGGCAGCAATGACTTTTCGATTGCAATTGGTGGCATTGCAGAGTTGGTTGTTCAGATCCTTAGCAGTATAAGCTAGTTAGGCAATATTTATTGACTTGTATTGGCCTTGACAAAAGGTCTACATTGTCTTATATTAGAAATAGAACATATAAATTCGGTTGATTATCTCCAATACCATATTGTCTCCACCTTTTTACTGTTTGTTTTAAAATGAAATACCATTAGTCTGAAACTTCAGTTATCACAAGCCAGACATCATATCACTAGGTCCACCTAGAATCTTACATTTTTATCAATATATACCTAGTTTTAATGGTAAAGTTCATTAAAGAGTGTTTCTTTTTAAGATTCCTAGATAGACACTTTATTTTTTGGGGTTTGACTTGAATAATAGATGTTGGCTTAGAAATAAAATCAAACACACCTTAAAAGCACTAGTCTTGAAAAAAAAACTTACAACTTAAAAGCATGTGTACATGATCAATGTTAGAACTCAGCAGTTACAATGCCAGGAGAGAATAAAGGGTAAAATTGGATACAAGACTGATGCTCTAAAAATCGAGTGTGGGACTTGGGTGTCAGGGGTGTGGCCATCTGGTGTAGGAGAAGAATTTGTTTGAATTGAGAGAACACCTCACATCAACACATGCTAGAAATGTGGATGAATGAAATTTTTGGGGGTGTGAAAGGTGCAGGCGATTGCTCCAGGGGTGTGAAGGCTGAGAAAGGTGGGGAACCACTGCTCTAAAACATTAGAAACAAAATGTTGTCATTTACAGATGACAATTCAAATCACTGAAACTGAAATTACTGTTTGAACCTAGAAAAAGGTTTACAAGTAACTTGGAATGAGATTTGAAATAGGGTCTTTTTTAGCCTTGAATGTGATGATATGTCTAGCCTCACACATGGTGAACAGCTTGAGTTGAAAAAATTGGGCTTTATCAACACAAAAAAACACATTGTGTTTATAAAACAAAAGCATAATTTACAGAGGAATTGGGTGTAAAATTGTAGGTGAATTATTCTCAAAGTATGATTGAACCTTTTGAATTATTTAGGTTTAAAGAAATAGAACAATTTAATGATTTGAAATTTCCTATTTCATACTAGAAAGCCTTCATTATTCCATTCCACTTGAATATTATAGTTGAACTTGATTGAAAGTCAACCTTGCTTAGTGGCATCAAAAATGTTCAAACTAAGAGCAACAATTTAACCCACGTTCAACAAACTGAAACACAAGATAAACAGGAAATGCTATCTTGTGTTCTTGAAATTTTCTTCATTTATTATTTTATTGACATGTATCATAGAAGAATAATTTACCAGCAGACCTATTTTTGTTCACATTTGTGAATGGAATTACCAGATAGGCCTCTGACCTATCTCTATAAAGCTTAGTTTGATTTTATCCAGGACTTAGGAGGAGGTGCTAGATTTCCCAGATACCCGAATAACAAACTAGTTTTAAGATGCCTTAACTTGCACCTACTTCAAAAGTGGCTTGAATAGTTAAGCCAGCTGAGTTTGGCCTCCTGAACTCAACTGGCTACTATTAAGCTGGATTTGTCATGTCTGCACATGAGTATTCTTCTAATCAAATTTCAGCAATTGTTATTGTCATAATACAGATGTGGAATGTTACTGTGACCTCAGAACTTTCCGAATGATTTAGGAGGTAATGTAAAAGCTGTGTTAACTTTTATGTCCATCTAATACACACTAAAAAACAGTAAAGCAGGCTCAAAGAATGGTTGACAGTTAAGCTGCCTTAAATCTATAAATTCTAAATCTATAAATCTAATTAAAAGATTAACAGAAAGTCTATATATGATTTTCTATTTGAAGTTTTTCTGTCTAACGATGATTAAGATGTTGTATTTTTTAACATCTTAAATCAAGTAAAACACAGAACATTGAGTTCTGTTGAGTAACAGAAGGTAAAATACTAGGGTTGATCTGGTTTCTCACAACCTTTTAACCTTTCAAACTACACACCAGATGTCTTTTAAATAACGTAAGACAGATTGATCATAAGGGGAGGTAACTTTTTAAATTGAATCCCTTAAGTGAAATAACAGTAGCGAATAGATAATGTGTATTATTATTAAAGAAGACATAAAGATAAAAGGATATTCAAGCATTAGAGTTTATCTCTTCAAATATAAACAATCTTACAACAGACTTGTCGTTTTACTCTAGTTTTTATCACTATACTATTAAAATGCCAGAAATTGAAAGTTTCTCAGCAGATGTTAGTCTGATTTGTTTCTTATTAAAAATTCTATTTGCATGGAATTACTTTTCTTCAAATGATTGAAGACATGTGAAGCAGCTAGGTAAACTGATCTACTAGTATAAATCTGTATGTCTGTCTGATGTCTGTCTGATGTTATGATTGATTAAGACGAATTTCAAAGTCTAAGGTTATAATCCAATGATTATGTTTGTATTGCATAAAAGTGAAAGTGTCTTAAAATTAGCTAAACTTGTTGAGATAACATGAAATATTTGAGATCCCATCTGCCATCTGGTTGACCATAACACTACAATTCTGATACCACATCCAGTGGTTTCTAAAGTTGGACTAAATTGCAGTCAATATCACCATACCTAACTTTGCTCATCCTTGAATAGGTTGATAATTTTCAAAATGTGAAAAAGGTCAATACCAATTCATATGCCTGGTTGCTAGTTTTGCCAATCATGCGTCTTAATATGAGATTTTTGCTTGCAGAAATGTCATTTTTCATTAAAATATTTACTCGTTCTGAATTAGATATTTTGAGTAGCCTTGTAGAATGTTTGAGTTGCTAAACCAAGTTTAATTTCAGTCTTCAGAAGACAATATGAAATTTGTGACAGACACAATCACGACTGTAGAGAATACAGATGATTTTTTGTCACTTCAATTCTAGAGAGCTCTACAAGTTGAATAAATTGAATTTGATGTATGATCTATCTGTAGAGAGAATTGAATTGTAATGTATTTGTGTTGAATTTCCAGTATTGATTTTCTATGTAAAAACACTGTTTGTATTCATGTCAGGTTTTAAAGTTAAGTTGAGCATCTTGTATCAACACTACAATCTAGGTATATATGGTAATGTATGTAAATTATTTTGTAATTAATTTGTAACATACTTGCACTTAATCTTTTAAATATACATAAACGAAATTGACACAATTACATCTAATATATTCATTTGTAATTAATATAACTTTTAATATATCTGACACAATATATGCCATTATATCCTTTTTTAATGCATAGTTGTTGATATGTTACCAGTATTCAATACATTAAAAATTCCATTAATGATTGTGTATGTGAGAACAGTAAGGCCTATGACAATATATTGAATATATCTTTGAATGGCATTTAGCAATTGTGAGTACGATATATAGGCACAGCTTTATGGAATAACAATCACTGGTTAAAGTTTTATGCAACGTTTCGACAACCCCTATCGTCCTCAGGCACATAATGATAAGAAGTGACGGGCAAACTATATATACATTAATGCTTATTATTAAGAACACACAAGAGATAAATGGTTTATTGATACATTACATTAAATTTTAACAGGTACAATAAGAGGTACATAATTCTTAAATAACATACAGACTGATCAAGTAAAATAATTGAAATAAAATAAATGAATTAAAAAAGATTAATTGAAGATTAAATAAACAACTATTGCTGGTATTGGAGTCTTTTATTAATAGAAATTACATTGTTCATATAACTAACTATGCTTAAAGTTGGAGATTTTTATTAAATACATTTATGAATATGAAAAATTACAAGTTGATAAGTTTATCAATTGCCTGCGGTAAACGAACACCTTCATCTCTGTTAAGCTCAGGCTGGTATCTTCTGATGTGGATAGCTTCATGAAGTCTCCTGGTTTTATCTATGTGCTTATTGATTGTCAGTATGTTGGTGTTGTCAAAGTTGACTTTATGTCCTGTTTTCCTTCCCATAGCAAGATGTTCAGCCACAGCAGATGTTCCTTCATTGCCGGGCTTGTCTTGATGGTCTTTGAGTCGAACATCAAGGGGTCTCTTTGTTTCCCCTATATAAGAACTTCCACAGGAGCACACAACTTGGTAGACACATCCCTTAGGTTTTTGGTTGTTGGAGGGATTCAATTTACCACTGGCTCTGAGCAAATCTTTAAGCGTTGAGTTGCCAGAGAACATTGTTTCAATGCCGACTGACTTTTTCAGGATCTTCTTGATTTGGTATGATACCTTTCCAATGAATGGGATAGCTAAGCGGGTTGATGGTCTTAATAATAAGCATTAATGTATATATAGTTTGCCCATCACTTCTTCTCATTATATGCCTGA